CATCTAAACTTTTAAGGATGTGATAAAATGGGTGTCCCTATGTCACACTCATCTTGAACCATAGGTCCTACATTGTCACGCTTCTCTGGCAAAAATTTCTTTGATCTACCAGTGCTAAACATATCATAAAGGTATGAAATTTAATAATTATGTTTCATCCATGTAAATCAATATATACTTGCTGTCAGTCTGGAAAAATTTTCCATTAGTGATAGTTTTTTCCACTATGGTTGGGAGGAGGTGAGTAATTTTATGATTATGACACCTCTAATGGGGGTATCTGCATAATTTGATGTTGAGCCGGAAATAAGTTAAATTCAATTTGTTAGATAAATAATAGTCATTCATTGAATTCGTCTGTCACATGTAACTGTGGAAAAAATATAGTATTAAAATTTAAAATAAATGAATGATGTTCAGGGATATCGAACAGGGAAAACCAAACATAAAAAAAGGTTATATTTATAAATATATTCATAATCATATATTAAATAATAATGTCGTATATACCTTTTTCTCTAGGTTAAATGGAGCATACGATGGGCTGAATGGAGGAATGGCATCGGATGCTATGGTTGATTTGACAGGTGGACTAGCAGAGGTGTTTAAACTAAAGCCTGAAAGTGGTTCCGACTTGGAGATCTTCCGGGATCTCTACCGGGGAATTAAGTGCAGTGCTTTCATGACATGCTCAAAAAAAGTAATTAATATCATATCATTCATCATTTTTTAATAATATTACTATACAATTATTTACTACTTATTACTAGTGATTACCATGAAACAATTTTTATGATGCTGTTTTTTTTTTTTCTTTCAATATTTGTTATAAAGTTTGTTATAGTTACTGTCAACTAATATTTGGAGGCTTTTATCTCTTTTTTGTTTGAAAAAGATTAAAAAGAATAAAAGAATAAATAAATAAAAGAATAAATAAATAAATAAATAAATAAATAAATAAATAAATAAATAAATAAATAAATAAATAAATAAATAAATAAATAAATAAATAAATAAATAAATAAATAAATAAATAAATAAATAAATAAATAAATAAATAAATAAATAAATAAATAAATAAATAAATAAATAAATAAATAAATAAATAAATAAATAAATAAATAAATAAATAAATAAATAAAATTAAAAAGTTAATCAAACACAAACAAGTCTTATTAATTATATTTTGATGACTAAAGTAATGAAAAAAAAATGCACATTATTACATAATTTTACAGTATATTTTACTCGCTACCATTCTTATAATTCCATCAAGGGAGCTTGGCAACTGGCCAACACTGATGCCCAGGGTATAGTGTCTGGACATTCGTATACTATTACAGCTGTTAAATGGGTCAGCCTTGTGGACGATAGTCAGATGCCTCTGTTACGTGTGCGTAACCCGTGGGGTAACTCGAGTGAATGGACCGGTGACTTCAGTGATGGGCAAGTATTTATTGTTATTGTTTATTATTAAAATTATCATTAACATTGTCAGTAATATTTGTTTTATCTTTTGTTTTTAAATGATTCTTAATTTGAAATAAATAATAAAAATGAATCATGAATAATATTATGATGCTTTGTAACGTTTCCTTAGCTATTATTATTAGTAGTAGTAATATATTATTTGATTATTTTATTTTATAGTTCCCCAGCCTGGAACCGAGTGAAACCTAATGATAAAGAAGCTCTAGATCCTCAAGATAAAGATGATGGTGAATTTTGGTAAAGATCTCTCCTTGCAGCTATCGGTTTCTATGCAAAAAATACCTGTGCTTTGCCCATATATATGTGTGTTATATGATATATTCATTTGTCACATAATTTGTCAAATCACAAACTAACGCAATCAAAGTGGAAAACAAAGAGCACATCAAAATAAGCGTTTTGTATTTATCACCCAAAAAATGCTAAAACTAATAAGAAGGCGCTGTCATTGATATACACTTACTTTATCCGTAGGATTTCCTACCAAGACTTTTGCGGAGAATTTACTCGAGTGATCATGTGCCGACTGGCTGAAAACCAACTGCAAACAGATCGTGAGTTCTTATAATATTAAAATAGAAATAAGAACAATGAGGACAATAATGATGATGACAGTGATGATAATTATTGTAACGATGTGGATGATGATGATGATGATGATGATGATAATGATGATGATGATGATGATGATGATGATGATGATGATGATGATGATGACGATAATGAATATGTGGATGAGGGTGATAATGATGAGGTTATGATGATAATAATAATGAGGAGGAAGTGGATGATGATGATGATGTGGATGAGAATGATGATGATGAGGATGTGCATGAAGATGAGGATGATGAAAATTACAATGAGGACAATGATGAGCATGAGAGTGGCAAAGATGATAATGATGTAGACAGTAAGGAAGATCATAATTATATTGACTAAAGCATTGATAGCAATAATGAAGTTGTGGATATGAATGATGGTAATTATGCTGATGATGATATATGGTAAATGACCAATGTGATTATTATAATTTATAATGTACATGATGTGGTGATGATGAAAATAATGACAGTGGTATAATGAAAATATTGATGATGACTGGTATGATAATGATGATAATAAAGACAATGATCTTAAATTGATGCATCCAAATAATTTGCATATCTCAACAGTAAGTTCCCTTCACACGGTGTCCATTCGTGGTGCATGGATTAAGGGTGTGACTGCCGGTGGCTCAAGGAATGATATAGACTCATTCATGATGAATAAACAGTATATATTAAGGGTTACAGAGGCTGGTGAGTTCAAGAGTTATATTAATTTAAAATAGAAGATTAACATTTTAGACAATTAATGATTATGCTATATTCTATAATTTCACAAAAATAAATAATATAATAAAAAAAGATAAATACTTATATTTATTTCAATTCAAGGTTTGTTTCTAAAATTCAACGCAGTTAAAAACTGAATTACAACAAATGGTTATAATTTACATATATAGAAATTACAAGCATAAAAAATATTATATATACTGTATAATATATATATAATATATATTATATTAATAATTAATACTTTAGTCATATATAGAATACATAATATATCAGTCTTAAGTATCTATGAGGTACAGCACATTATTACGACAGTTATTGTATCAAACACATGAATCACACCTCAGATTCTTGGGGGGTAATTGAGTATTCTTAGAGCTATAGCTAGTATCCAGTCCTTTGACTTTTGCAGTGGTGGATTCAAAATTTAGAAAAAACAAGAAAATTAAATTCAAATTTGTGTCTGAGAGTGGCATTTCTGGCCATCTGGAAGAGTCGTAATCATAAATTTTCTTACATTAAACCTAACCATGGTGGGGTTGAGGTACTCACTTATACTTCTTGTGGGAAAAGACAATACAGTAGACATAGTGTGCTGCCGAAGGAAAGCACAAAGCTTTCGATTCAAATGACTGATTTTTTAATTTAGAAGCCCACAGTTTCATTTAGGAATCAGAGCTATAAAATCTACCACATAAAAAAAAACCATTATTCTGGATGAAGAAAGACAACACAGATTACGTGACTTGATCAAGGTCACCATTGAAACGAAACAACTTAAAATTTGTAAACCCGGCTTGAATCAAGACCACATAAACCTACGTCACTACTTCATTTTATGTGTATATAATTGTAAAGTCTAGTCCTCCAAAATAATAATTATTTTGGAGGACTAGACTTTACATAATCAAAAAATGACAATGGAGAATATACATTCTATTCAGCAAAACTTTTTCGAAGTACTGTACATTGAGCAAACAAATGTTTGTTATGATGCAGATGAATGGAATTCTGAAGAGGACACATCTGCTAAATGGGGGCGCTGTTCAGTTATTATTTCATTGCTGCAAGAATACAGAAGCTCAAAAAAGAATTATGCTGCAAAAAAGGATAATATAGGATTTGTTGTATACAAGGTATGACAATTAGACATTCAGTGAGATTATTAATATTTTTATTATTGTTTTTATTAATGTTATTATTTATAACCAGTTGTTACAGTGATTTTTAATCTTAAAATGGCACAAGCAAATCAAGCTCATGTAGGGACAACAAACATTTTAAACTTTAGTCTTAATAAGATCATTATCATCATCATTTTTATTAATTATTTAAAATTCAACTACCAAGTTTATTCTTTTTTAGCATTGTATTCAGTGTAATTTATGTATAGTCATGCTGTAATCATCTATGGGTTTTGTTGATTAATCAATTTATTTAATTAATTTAATTAATAATTAATAAAAAGATTTAAATCTGTACTAGACCCCATTGGAGGATGGTAAACAAGGAGTAAGTAAAGAGGACATCCTGTATACACAAGATATCGGCACGTCGGGACCGTTCATCAACCACCGGGAGGTAAACCGTAAGTTTGATCTTGATCCAGGTAACTATGTCATCATCCCATCAACATTCCATCCAGGTGAAGTGTCATCATTCATGCTCAGACTTTTCTCAGAGAAGCCCATTGAAATTGAGTAAGTTGATACCGCTCAATCTCCGAAGCTTACAGAGTAGTTTTAAGAATACCCTTTATGCTAGACTTTTGTTTGATACCTTATACTTACTTTTACTTTTGGAATTGGAATTTTTGGAACACTCAAAGAATATTCCAGTCTATATGCTAGACTTTTGTTTGATACCTTATACTTACTTTTACTTTTGGAATTGGAATTTTTGGAACACTCAAAGAATATTCCACTCAGGTTAATTTTTTCCAGTGGAGACATTCTGGTGGTTACTGTACACAGAAAAAAAAACAATAATCCCCTTCTTGCCTCTTCAAACATGCACATAGGCCACTTTTAACAAGGACTTATTTGAGAGCAGCGCTTATTCGAGAGTGCTGCTTATTAAATAAATATTGGCGTGGCAATTTCAGTGCCCATTCCCATGCTACCTATCTTGCGTATTCCCGTAGGTAAGTAGGCTTAATAGTCTTAGGCCCTACATCATCGTAAATAAACGTTTTATGAAGATATGCTTGTGACTTCATTGTGTTATCTGCTGATTTGAACATTGTATACATTGTATTTAAAGCCCTGTTTCTCAAAGTGTTTTGTTACACAAAATGTATACTCTCTAATAAACACAATAGTGCTTATTCAAGAGCAGCGCTTAGCGAAAAGAATCACATTTGGTGCGGCGCTTATTCGAGAGCAGAACTTATTCAAGAGCGGCATTAATTAAAGTATTTACGGCATCATTAAAAATACTTTACAAGGTATATAATTCAATGAGGGCAGTATTGGAACCAGGGGCAAAGGTCTAAAAGGTTCATTCATTCATTCATTTATTTCATTCATTCATTTATTCATTTTGTGGATTACATTCATAGTTTACAACGTAAAATAATTTGTGTTATGTATAGATTCTGGAACTCTTAGATAGTAGAGTATTTCTCCTGAGGTTGACATTATCCAAACGTAGTGTGGCCCGGAGTAATGGCAATTTAGCCATTGTAACTAAGATGTTTTAGAATTTAATATCCCCCGTGGCGGATTCAAGGGGAGGCCAGGGCCGCCCCCCCCCCCCACACCCAAATTGTTCAAGATTGTTAAAAAATGCAGATACAGGTATAAAGAAAATTATATTCAAATTTTAAGTCTGAGAGTGCAATTTCCATCTAGAGGTGCCATAATCACAAATTTTTTTACCTCTGCCCCAACCATGATGGGGCTGAGGTGGAATAGATCCTTTATCCCAGGCCCCTCTTATCTATTTTGAATTCCTGGATCCACCACTGTGCCCAAAGAAAGTTAAAAGTTTGTTTTTGTTGTAGAGTGAATATGAAAGTCAGTGTAATGTTTAATAATTTATTTGGGTATTCCCCAAAGTGTTGGCATATTAGGAAGACCCTTATTCCAGCATTGTATAAAAAATTTTATTAGATGATTTCAAATTTATTGATTTTTTTTCATCTATTTATTTCATCTATATTTTGCTTTTATACCATTTTCTGTTTCTTTTGTTTACAGGCTTGCTGAGTAAATGTATGGCGAAATGTTGTCTCATTTCAAGTTTCTTATTTCTAATCATTGTTCGACTGAAAGAAGAAAAGTCTATTAAAGAGCGTGGTCATCTGAAGAGAGGAGAGGGAGACATAGATTATGGATGAGGGCCTCAAATCTGGTATATATTTACTTAGTTACTGTATTTTCTTTGCTATTAGCAAAAAGTATTCATTGTCAAGTAGCCACTAATATCATGATGTGATAATTGTAAAATATAATGGTAATATCAATAATTATGAAACATTTTAACATGGGTGGCCCATCCAATATTCTAATATTGTAATTTAATCTCTTGTTGTTTTACTGTATATTTTGCTTTGAATAAATCAGTGGTGTAAAACTCAATTCTATGATATTGTTGAATATTTTTGAAGATAATCATTGCACAGAAACACTCAGGGTTTACTTAAATTCTTCTCATGTATATAATAAAAAGAACATATTTTCTATGTCTGATAATTACTTAATTGTTATGTAGTTCACTTAAGCAATATTCTGTTCGACCAAAGGTAATTATGAAACATTTTAACAAGGGTGGCCCATCCAATATTCTAATATTGTAATTTAATCTCTCGTTGTTTTACTGTATATTTTATCTTTATTTTTATGTATAATAAATCAGTGGTGTAAAACTCAACTCTATGATATTGTTGAATATTTTTGAAGATAATCATTGCACAGAAACACTCAGGGTTTACTTAAATTCTTCTCATGTATATAATAAAAAGAACATATTTTCTATGTCTGATAATTACTTAATTGTTATGTAGTTCACTTAAGCAATATTCTGTTCGACTAAAGGTAGGATTATGCATGTTAGCAACTGTGTAACATTTATGTTTCTTAATACATCTTAATCTTAGGTTTGGCTTTATATATGAATTCAATCCTCAATTTTTTTTTAAATCTTGGACGAGATTTTGGAGATCCCATCTTGTCATTTATATGCTGAAGTTGATGGTGGGGGTGGGGGGAGAAGGGGTTTCATATTGATCTCTGTCATTTGCAGTACATCAATTCAAGCACTAGTGCTGCTCAACTACGATGCGCAAGAGAGTTGCGGGATCAATTTTATTATTTTGTCCAATATTCCTACTATAATAGTATATTTTAATGTACAGTAATTTAGAAATATATATATATATTTGTTAAGTAATATTTAATTGTTTTTGTTTTAGTATCTTATATATTTTAGCATTATGTCTATTGTAGTTTAGCAGAAATGCTATTGATATTGCTGAATAAATCATAATTTGAGATGAGTATTACTACACACATAGTACTTATGCCTAATATGAAATCGTCCACAAGGAATGCCATATTGATTGTAATCAATGAATCATGGCTTGTGGCTTATATTGATTCAAATCAATCAATTTTAATCAATAAATGAATATGTTTATTCGAATCAGTGAATCAGTATATAACAGCAATGAGTTACATCAAAGAACGTATACGTTTGTTGATGTAAATCTGGAAGGACACCCCCAAGCAAGTGCGCTTGCATGCAATACAACAACACACAACTTCCATGGATGCATACACTTCAGTTCGGTTGAGTTAAGCAACTATTCATTTAGGGATCACAAACATTTGTTATTTCAGAGGATATCTATAATTACTTTCAAAACAAATATTATTTACAAAAGGATCAATGTTGGATTAAAATAATAAAGGTACAGCAAATAAGATTACATTTAAATACATTTTATTGTGTGTAAACAATTAATTTTTAAAATCTGTTTTTTTTTTTTTTTTCATGTTCTTTCTCATTTCATATATCGTTGATTATCATAATATAGCATTAAGTACAATAGAATTTAACATTAATATAAATAATCAAAAAAACTTTGAAATTCAGCTGTATTTCAAGTATATTTTTCGACCACATCATTGATAATTGTATAATGTAATCTGTCTTCCTGTACTGTGTTTATATTCACAATCAACATTTAAATTAGTTTGGACAGAGACGGATTTAGAGGGGTGCACGCCCCCCTTATTCTGCACAAAAAATGGAATCACAAACTGTAAATCTGATACAGAGGCACAAAAATACATTAGGTCTATGTGCTAAAATGCAAGCGTACCGTACTCGCGGAAATAAGCACCCCGTTTGAATAAGCGCCCCATCGATTAAAAAAAAAAAATCAATCATACAGTACAGTAAAAGTACATCACCAACTTAATTTTCTGCATCAAGTATTCGCATCTATCTTAGCATTGTCGGTCGGTCAGTTCATCTATCTGTAAATGAGATTTTAACCTATCTTTGATAACCGTATTGTACTGTTATTATATTTCACAATCAACATTGAAATTAGTATGGACAGAGGCAGATTAACAGGGATTGCACGCCTCCCCCCCTCCCCGCCACCCCTTGCACCAGAAATGTAATCCCTAGACCATAATATCTAACACAGAGGCATACAAAAAATACATTAGGCCTGTGCTAAAACTGCAAGCGTATATGCGTATGCCTAATTATTTTGTTTTAACATCATTTTCTCAGAATTTGAGCATGTAGGCTTGTACTGTAGGCCTAATGGGCTTTAGAAATTTTAATAGACGCGCTTGCGCGAATACACTACGCAATAACAATCGCACATAAGTTCAGCGAGTATTGGTTTCAATCAAATCTACAGACGATTTATTGTGCTGTTTTAGCTAAAAATTACTTGATTTACATGAACTACGATATTTCCATAAAGGTACAGCAATGCAACATACTGAAAATAAGTTGTGCAGAATTACCTAAAATTAAAATTTTATGCCTATCAATTGATATTTTGCACATTATTATTATTATTATTATTATTATTATTATTATTATTGTATTTATTTCCTCCATAAAAATATATATGTATATACAATACAAGAAAAATTAAAATTGAAAGAAAAAGAAAATCCATTGAAACAAAGAGTCACATATTGCTGGTGAGTGGGGAGGCGGGCATACCAAAAGGAACGGAGCTACTGTACAATAAATGTTTGGGATCCACAAGCACTCATCAGCAAAACGTATAGTCAAGCAAGGAAGTTATATGAACGATTCCTTAAAACATTTCTTAAATAAATTACCATTACGCACATGTAAAGGAAGGCAATTCCAACAGTCAATAATTCTATGACAAAAAGAATGAGCAAGTTCGTTGCATCGAGGATTTCTATTACAAAGAGTAGGATAATCTTTTCTTACATTAAGGATGAAGTCAAACATGTTAATAATGGGGCTGTTGAACAATTTAAAGAAAAAACACATCATAATGACTTTCCGACGAAGAGAAAACCCAATTCGGCCACCAGTCCTCATAGGAAATATATCCAATATCCCCAATCCCAGGAGAATAAGTCTGGCCAAAATAATACCCAGTGAAATCTCTCTGAATGCGTTCAAACCTGGCAATATCACATTCCATATAAGGGTTCCATATTGGGGACGCATACTCTAATATGGGAAGACATAGACTATACATAGTGAAAGTTTAGATCGGCCAGTGAAATGTTTAATAAAACCAAGTACTCGGTTGGCTTTACTGTATTACAAATTGATTGAATATGGAGATAAATGAAGATTAAATGATAGCATAAATAACGCCCTTTTTATAAAAATCATACACAACTATAATTAATGTGCGTGTTTTTGTAGGTTCAATCACTGTCGTTTTGTGGTACCTTGGCAACAATATCCAAAGGGCGGTCTCAAAGTTGAATTATCGGAAGTGCGCTCAAAATATAAGCGCGCTTGCGTGCAACATACACTAGGCGATCACTTCCGACCATGCTTCCGACGCACATCCATGGAAACGTACCGTACACACGCTTGGTATAACCATGGAGGTATTATTGAGAAGGAGATCACTCGGCAAAGCTACGCGCACGCAGCGCTATGCAAATGAACCAAGATCAAAGTTGCCGCAGCGCGTAAAGAACGTTTGCGCGATGCCTTTGAAGTCCCA